ACTTCTATAGAGTGTTGTCTCCCTCCCACGGTTCTTTTGCAACATCTGGCAATCACCTGGGATGTCTACCATACAGTAGATTAAAAGGTGAATAACCTGTAGATGCCTTGAGAGGTAGCTCTCCTATAGCAAACATGAGATATGGCAACAAAAAAATCTCAATTTTTCCCATCTTTTTCCACCACCTTTTTTTAACATGTTCTTGAGCATCTTGTAAAATTTATCCACAAGACCATTAGTTTGGTAGACAGAGGTACGTAGATGGGAGATTTTGAACAACTTACATAACTCCTAAGTAACTTTGGACATAAATGGTGTGCCCTTAACTGTTGGAAACAGCCTTAGGTGAAGTATTACGCAAAGGAATGCTTCAGGATACCGTTTAGCATAGTCCAGTTTTACCAGTATGTGCTGATGGTCCCAGGCAGACTTTACCACTGGTCCCACCAGATCCATGCCAATTCTTTGAAAAAGCTCTTCAATGGTCAGAAAAGGTACCAACAGCCTGCATAAATGGGCAATAGTGCAGAATACTGACACTCTGGGCATGACAAAATTCTCTAACATCTGCATGTAAACTAGACCAAAACACCTCTAGGTTATTCTCTCCTTTGTTTTATTTATACCCAGATGTCTACCCTCTATATGACCATGGGATACATTTAATATCACCCAGCGATGTGGTTTAGGGACCCCTAGCTGTTCTACCACCTCCTTCCCTTGCTTTACCACTTTATACAGCAAGTTATTTTTAATAGCCATGTAGGGAAAAGACACCCCAACACCAGGCCCAACCAGTATCCCCATGTATCATTTTAATGTTTTCTCTGGCTCCAGTAAGGGTGAAGTATTTCAATGATGAGTCAGAGATTATATCTGTTTGGATCTCAAGCTCTGGGTTGGATTTCAAATGCTCCTGTTCTCCAACCATTACAGAGAAAGTAAAAAGAATATAGCCCTTCCTTGAACACACCAACAGTTTCCCCTTTCACAGGAGTTATGTCCTCCTGTCCTGTTTTTTCCACAGGCTCCAAAAATAGGGAGAATCTCTCCCCACTATAGCTTCATGAAGCAGTGAGGGTACCACTCCCACTAAAGGTGTCACTGAGCCCAGGGAGTATCAATCTCAACCATAACAGTCTGGTTGTCACGTGAAACGTTTCAGGGTTAACAAAATCACCTATGACTAAAGTCACAATGCTACCAGAGTCTATTAGAGCAGTGACTGGCTTTCCATCCAGTGAAATCACACACATTTGTTTTTACATTCATCCCTGACATAATGCAGTACATGCCACCTGTGCAAAAAGGGAAATGCATTTTTCCAAATAAGCATGATCACATTGCATTGATTTATCAGTTAGGGAACAGTTAGCAGCAATATGACCTAATGCATGGCAACAATAACATTTTATAAGTTCTTCACCCAGTCCTCTAAATGGCCTCAGAGACCTCTTTGGCCTATTTGGACAGTCTCCAGGTCCTGAGCCCACAGTCTCATTATCTGTAGCAGCATCTGTAACAGTCTTGCAATTTTTCCCTAAGCCCTTCAACCCTGGAACAGTGTTACTGGATCCTCCAGGCAGTTTCTTACCCCTAGAGACATTGTACCTAAATTTTTGGTGCAGTGCCAGCATCTGTCAGGATTAGGAAATGTGTGTATCCTGATGAGGCTCTATACCACCTAAAGTAAAGTTTGTAACAAATCTCTTGGGTACTGACATTCAAGGAGCATTTATGGATTGTAAAATTAATATATTTTTTTCCTCTTCCTACAGTGTGATATCCAAGTCTTTCTCCCAAGCACACACGTTTCTTGGTGGTGCAGAGCATGCTTGAATATTGAGTGAAGCTTACATGGGTTTCAGAGGTATCTAAAGTGCATTTTGATCCCAGTAGAGTAAGTAATTTCATATAACAATGTTTCATCATGAGGTTGTTCAGATATTGTCAAGTTTGAAAATATGAGCACATAGGAATTGAATCCATAGATTCATCACCCATTTATGAAGCTCTATGTTGGAAAGAACCTTTGGTGAAAAATTTAAAATTTATGTCCAAGATTGGGAATGAGGCCATTGAATTTTAAACAGTTCCAAGATATTCCTCAACAGAAGAGTCACCTAGAACTGGAACTTCTTTAATCCATAGATTTCAATATTGGCCCCTCTTATTCAGGTCTTCAGCATGGTGTTGCATTTCAGTGAGGTGCTTGTTGTGTGAAACTGCTGCATTTTATAGAACCCAGATGGAAGAAATATGGCAGTGATGGAATGGATATCCTCTGTGAGACTCGTAATGGTGGATGTAGGAGTGTTTTTAACATAAAGGGCCACCAATTGGAGATCCTATATTCTTGGCATCTGATTAAAGAGCACCTTCATATTCGTGCAGCTGCCTGTATTAGATCAGCTCTATCTGAGAGCAGGAAGGTCGAGCCCTGAAAATGTTTGATTAGGTGCAGACCTCCAGAAGATTTTGTCCTAATTGCGATTTATGGTTTTGGTAGTGGGAGAAAACCATCTAGCCTTCCCCATAATGCTTGCTGTGACAGTCAAAAGAGCTAAAATACCCTCTGCATGGCTGTAGCTTATCTGTTCAGCAGCCATTTTGTTCAAGCACCAAGCCACATCCCTATCCAAGGTCACATCATTATTAGTTTCAAATTAGAAAAGGTAGTAATGCATGCATTTAAACACAATGGGAGATTGTTTTTCAGAAATAACAGCCTTGACATCTGAAATAGACTCATGCTGAACTGGTAATAGATTCAAAGATCCACAACAGACACAAAGAACAACATTCCATTTAGGATCACAGCTGTTTTTAAAATGTATGAAAACAAGGTGAAAAAATAGAAAAATTGCGTTTGACTGGCTTTTCATTTCAGATATCACTATTCCATCTTTTATGTTTTTTTCTGTTTGCTACACTTTGCATAAAAATACTAAACTCTTGTTTTTTGGGGTTTTTTAGTAACAAACATGCCACACTTACCAGCCCTGTGCAGTGATTTTGCACAGAGCAGCCCCAATCCTTCTCTTCTTCGGTCCCCTGCCGGTGCCCCTATCCCCTCCCTCTTGTTGGGTGTCACCACAGCAAGAAGATTACTATGGATGCACGGGAGCAGGAGCACTCCTGAGCGGTGGCTCTGCGTGTCCATTCACACACACAGCCATGCCTTGGCCCCACCCTCTCCTGATTGGTTCACTAGTTGTGATTGACAGCAATGGGAGCCAATGGCCAATCAGGAGTTAGAGTCCCTGGAGAACCAAGGCTCTCGTGAACATCACTGGATCAGAATAGAACTCAGATACGTGTTAGGGAGGCTGCTATGCACATAATTTTTTACCTTCATGCAAAGAATGCATAAAAGTAAAAAACCCTGAGCCTTTAGAACTACTTTAAGTGATGTAAAACCATTATAGGTGATACATTATCTATAAAAAACATGACCAAAGCAAAGTGAGATTTAAAGTGATACTAAAGGTTCAGATGTTTTGTTTGAAAAAAACAAACACGTCATATTTACCTGCTCTGTTCAATGTTTTTGCTTGCTCTGTGGGCACTTGTGCGTGTTCGCTCCCAACACACTGATCGTAGCTTGGCCCTGCCTCCTGCTCCCTCCTCACTGGCTGTGGTTGACAGCATCTGGAGCCAATGGCTTCCACTGCTGTGTCTGAGCCAATGAGGAGCGAGAGAGCAAAGAAAGCTGCTACTCTTGTGTACATCCCTGGATCATGATCGGGCTTAGGTAAGTATTACATGGACTTAGAAGGGAGCTGCACACTGAATGCACATAGAATTAATGAAGGTAAAAAACCTTCAGCTTTTAGAACCTCTAAGTGAAACCAGTGAAATATAGTTCTTTTTTATTTAAAGCTGAACTAAGTCTGCACTTACATAAAAGTAAAATTGTAAGTATTTCTATCTCTTTTATGAATATTTTTCAGGAATCAGAGATACATTATAGTGCCAAAGGTATTGGGACACCCCTCCAAATCATTGGATTCAGGTGTTCCAATCACCTCCATGGCCCCAGGTGTATAAAATCAAGCACCTAGGCATGCAGACTGCTTCTACAAACATTTGTGAATGAATGGGTCACTGGTACCATGAAAGGGTGTCGCATGTGCAATATGTCCATCTGTGAAATTTACTTGCTATTAAATATTCCACGGTCAACTGTTAGTGGTATTATAACAAAGTGGAAGCAACTGAGAACAACAGCAACTCTGCCATGAAGTGACAGGCCACGTAAAAAGACAGAGCAGGGTCAGTGCACAGTACGTAAAATTTGCCAACTGTCTGCAGAATCAATAGCTAAAGACCTCCAAACTTCATGTGGCCTTCAGATTAGCACAGCAACAGCACACAGAGAGCTTCATGGAATGGGTTTCCATGGCCGAGCAGCTACATCCAAGCTGATGGACGTGTCTGGGTTTAGGGGTTGCAAGGAAAACTGTACTTGCCTGACTGCTTTGTGCCAAGTGTAAAGTTTGGTGGAGGGGGCATTATGATGTGGGGTTGTTTTTCAGAGGTTGGGGTTGGCCCCTTAGTTCCAGTGAAGGGAACTCTTAAGGCGTCAGCATACCAAAACATTTTGGACAATTTCATGCTCCAAACTTTGTGGGAACAGTTTGGGGTTGGCCCCTTCCTATTCCAACATGACACCAGTGCAAAAAGCAAGGTCCATAAAAACATGTATGAGCGAGTTTAGGGTGGAGGAACTTGACTGGCCTGCACCTCAACCTGATAGAACACCTTTGGGATGAATTAGAGCGGAGACCAGGCCTTCTATTCTGACATCAGTGTCTGATCTCACATATGCTCTTCTGTAAGAATGGTCAAACATTCCGATAGACACACTCCTAAACCTTGTGGACAGCCTTCCTAGAAGAGTTGAAGCTGTTATAGCTGTAAAGGGTGGGTCAACTCAATATTGAACCCTACGAACCAAGACTGGGATGTCATTAAAGTTCATCTGCGAGTAAAAGCAGGCGTCCCAATACTTTTGGCAATATAGTGTATATTTAAATACATTCCTCAATAGTCACAAAGGATATAAATACACTTTGTGTACACCAAATGCCTCTTCAAACCTAGATATTAACTTGTAATCTCAGTGTGCTCAGGTTTGGTGCAAGCCTATCACAGCCAATCAGAGGCTATCACAGCAATCAGGTAATCGGGACTCGGGAGTCCCAGTTCACGATCATTAGTATGAAACCCGGATCTCTCAGTGAGAGCCCCGTCTTTGTACTGGGAAAACACTGTGCAGCTCACAAAAGACCCACTTCAGTTAGGCTGCATATATGTGTACAGGCAGCAGGAATGGGTTAAAAATCTGAATCCCCTGAAAGTGGCTGGGGATTCAGATCCCCCCTCAAGGAGGCCCTGATTATGCTGCATATAGCCAGTGCAAAGATGAAACCAGGGGGTGTACCCAGCAGTCCCACCAAGTACACGTTTGCAAAAATAATTTGGGAAGGAGACAAAACCAGTCAACCTGGAAAAGAAAAAAGACCAGCAGTGACTGGTCTTTATTACAAAGAAATCTAGCTGCAAAGTTGGAAGTTTTAAAGAAGACACACTTATTTTTGCAAGAAAACACATGCCTCTTATATTCAGAAAATAACTGTTTAGCCACAATTTTAGCTTTAAACTTAATGAAAAACACCCCTAAGTTTGTCTTGAAGGGGCCTTCTTACTTTTGATAAAGTAGGCATCTCCCTGTGGTCCTATCCAAAACATCAAATTCTTACCTGATAAAAATATTTTTACATCTGGACTGAACAACTGAAGAATACAAGAACACATTTCTAGCTACACACAAAGAGAATGAAAACAGTTATCTGTTAAAAGAAAGCAAATACCAAGAAATATTTTGGCTCAGACATTATAATATGCTAAAGTCATTATAATCCAATTGTCAAAATGTAAATGCGTGTCAGAATTAATTAACATCTATTTGTAAAATAATTACCTGCAAGTAAATTAAATAAACTGTCTGTTAAATTTAATTGCATTTAATAGATCAGAGCATCATACAAGAACAAACCATAGTAGTTAATTTTTCAGTAACTTAATATAAAGTATCTGGCTCTATTCCCATAATGCTTGCTTTACAACTGTAAGTTGATAGAAAGCATACGTTACTGTTTGCTTGGATGATTACAAAGTAGAAATGTCTTCTGGGTATAGTTCAACATAAGTCTTACATTCAAAGCCTAGAAAGAATGATGTGTTTAAATTTAGGTAATCTGATTTCATTATTTCAAAACAAAATCATCTAAAGATGTTTAAAAGCTATACTGCCTAGCAAAGGTGTTTAATTTTATCAAGCATAGTTATACACTCGGTATACCTACATGGATTCATTTTACAATTACTACATGAGTGATTTGATTTCTATGTACTATTTTACAGTGTATCTATAATTATTTTTTCTGCATAAAAAAAAACGTTTAAAAAGTTTCAAATCCTAAAAGCTACTTAAAAAGACTTAAAACTTTTCAGTTATATCATCTCACTGTCACTGAAAACTGATAAACTCAAAAAATGTTTTTTTCCTGGTTCATTTCATGTCAGCATACCAATGGATTGATCTGCCATCACAACTCCTTAGGACAATTCCTTACTAACTCATACAATTGTCTCAGTTTCCCCCCTCTCCCAGTGTCCTCACACCAAAGACATCCCTCATGATAGTCTGTAGAGTGCTTAAAAGTTTAAAAAAATATCCTATATACAGCCCTGGCTTCAAGCTCTCCCGGGCAAAGGATGCACCAGTTAGCTGCAAATCTCCATGGTGGAGCATAATTGTTTTTGTTTGTTTCTCAAGCCATCAGAGGCACACTGCTGCATTCATGAGAAGTCATTCTGCCCTAGACTTTTGGCACCATCAGGCCACTACATCCCCGTCGGTGCAGGTCTAAGCTAACAAATCATCTTCTGGGTCCTGTTGATCTCAGCATTGTCATCCAAGCTGGTGTAGTATGTAGAGACTGTTATAGCAAAGCTGTGGGCAGCATACAGATGTCATTTTTAGAGGTCTGGTATTTTTTTTAGACATGCAGTGGTGGAAGATTAACCATTTGCCACCCGCCCTATGGCCAAATGGCGGGCGGCAAATGTCATCAGCATTCTGGGTGGACGCCATATGGCGTCCTCCCGCACATGCGCAGATTGCGCTCCTGCAGAGCGGCGCAGCGGCGTGTAATTCTTTGCTATAAGCAAATTGTGTAAAAAAAAAGAAAAAAAAAAAAAAAATACTGATCACTTCCCCAAAGTAGTACAATGTTACTATGGTAACATTGTACTACTTTGGTCATAGTGAAATATGAAAAAAGAATCTTAAAAAAAAGAAAAATTATTTAATAAAAAATAATAATTAAAAAAAAAATATATATATATATATTTTTTTTTTTTTCATACTGTTACCAGTCAGTGTCCCTGATGACCGCCATGCTAGTTATATGATAACGCTGTACTGCACTGGTGACAATATGTAAAAAAAAAATAGTGAAACTAATTTTTTTAATTTTTTCATTTTCCGAAAAATTATGACAAAAAAATACAACTTCAAAAAACTCGCCACGCCTCTTATGAAGTACGTCGGACTGTCTACTTTGCAAAAAGGGGTCTTGGACCTCAGGAAATTAGATTGGCTGTCAGTACTTCAAGATTGATCAATATTCAGATCTATACCATAGTTTGTGAACTCTATAACTTTCCTACAAACTAAAAAATAAATCCTAATTTGGGTTATTTTCACCAAAGACATGTAGCAGAATACATCTCGGCCTAAACTTATGAAGAACAATTATTTATTTGCAAACTTTTATAACAGAAACAAAGAAAAACTTTTTTTTTTTTCAAAATTTTTGGTCTTTTTTTGTTAATTTAGCAAAAAATAAAAAACCCAGCAGTGATTAAATGCCACCAAAAGAAAGCTCTAGTTGTGTGAAGAAAATGATAAAATTTTAGTTTGGGTACAATGTTGTATGACCGCGCAATTGTCATTCAAAGTGTGAGAGCGCTGAAACCTGAAAACTGGCCTGGACAGGAAGGTGTAAAATTGCCCGGTATTGAATTGGTCAAAGAGCGTTAACCTCCATGGCGGTATTCCCGAGTGTAGCTTGGGGTAAAATTTCTATACCACAAGCGGTAACCCCGAGCTACACTCGGGCTTACCATGCGGCGCTGCTCTGGGGGTCCCTGCAGCACTTACCTTGTCCTTCGTTCCCACGATGTGTCCCCTGCAGCGTCCCCGGCCATCTCCTCCGGCCGATGCCGGCATCCGGCTTCTGTGTTCCGGTCCCCGTGACGTCGGGACGTACGGGCGCCGGCGGCGGCGGGAAATTTAAAAAATGTCTTTTTTTTTTTCAATTTTAAATACTAAAACATTGCTGTTTCATCCCATTTCACATACATATTGTCCCTAGTGCTTTGTCCTGTGCCCTGCCTGCATTTTGTCTGTTCTTTCTGCCTGGAAACTTAGAAAAGTCCATGGCGTCCAAAAAGCGTCCCTTTACGTCAAAAGCGGTTTTAGACCGGCTAGAGAACAGCGATAGTAAATCAGAACCACTTACAGAATTGAGTGATAATGATTTGTGGGGAAATTTTCCTAAAAATTACAGCCTACAATAAAAAACTATTTCCATGCGAAAAAATGGTACCGCTTTCAGCACAAAAAATCGGAAGGAATCATACCGCTAGGGAGGTTAAGCAATAAAATTTGGGGGCCTGAGATGATCCACATCCTGAGTATGAAGCTCACTCTCCAGTAATGTCTTGTTTGGGTAAAGCAAGGGGGAATGTCACCAGCGCACCGAGGATCACCAATATGGGTCCAAAAGTTTTAATGAATGATCACATAGTTACAGCAAGGCAACATTTCAGAGTCTCGCAGCACCCCTTCATCAGGCGTGTGAAAAAGAACATTGGGGAACTGGAAAAAGGACAGAGAAGGGCTTCCATACTGACAAGAGGCATGGAGGAGCTCAGCTATTAGGAAGATTAGAGGAACTGAATTTATACTCTCTAGAAGAGGAGATTAAAGGGGGGATATGATGATCAACATGTATAAATACATCAGTGGTTTATATATTGAACTTAGTGTAGAGTTATTCACCCTGAGGTCATCACAGAGGACAAGGGGGCACTCTTTACATTTGGAGCAAAAGAAATGTAATCTCCAAACATGGAAAGGTTTCTTCGCAGTAAGAGTTGTGAAAATGTGGAATAGACTTCCTCAAGAGTTGGTTCTGGCCAGTTTAGTGGATTGCTTTAAAAAGGCCTGGATTCTTTCTTGGATACACAGAATATAACTGGTTACCATTTATAGGTAAAGTTGGTCCAGGGAATATCCGATTGCCTCTCAGGGGATGAGGAAGGAGTTTTTTCCCCTGTAGGAGCAAATTGGATCATGCTTAGCTGTTTTTTTTTTTTTTGCCTTCCTCTGGATCAACTGTGGGTGTAGGATTATAACTTCTTTTTATGGTTGAACTGGATGGACTTTTGTCTTTTTTCAGCCAGACTAACTATGTAACTATGTCTCATTAAAGAGAGCCTGTCACAAAAATGCTTTTACATAGGGGTCATGTCATCCCCCAATGTGATAACAAAAATGTTATGTGAAAGCAGAAGTGTAAAAAAATTAAAGCTCAACAATCATATTTGAATAAAAAATATAGAATCAATCTGCACAGTGAAGACTAGTTGGTTCTATTCTATTCCAAATTCCAAATTCAAATTTCAGAAGGCTATATTCTTTGTATTTTATTCTATTTTGTTCTTTCCGAAATTAGAATTTCAAAAGTAGAATTTTGAAAGATGGCTATATTATTTTTATTTTATTCTATTTTTTCTATTGTATTCTTTTATTTTTCTATTCTATTTCTACTCTATTTTATTCCTTAATTTTCTATTCTATTCTTTTATATTCTATTCTAATCTTTTCTAATCTACTCTATTCTTTTCTATTCTATTATTTTCTAAATTCAAATTTCGAGAGATGGCTATATTCTTTCCATTTTTTTTATTCTATTTGA